TTTTTTTTTTTTTTACACGTGATGACTCTTTTGCAGAAAGCCATTTATTTTCACTTAGAACACCTTGCAGTATTATACGCTGATGTCAGTAAGTTTACGTACATTAAGCAGGTCCATTTACTTTAATGTTAACTGCACATAATTGCATGCATTGTGCAATTTTAGTAAATACTTGTATAGAAGGAGCGCTGGACCCCTTGTGTGAATAGGTGTAAGAGGTCCAGTTTCTAACCCTTTGGAGGCAGCTGTATGTCTGCAGGTGGTCACTGTAATCCACGGAATCATTTATAGCGTATTAGAATGTTGAAAGCGCCCCACTAATTGATTTAGTCCATTAAGTGTTTAGTTAATGTAGAGATACAAAGCCAATGCGTCTTGGGGGGCTTTTTTGCATCATCAATGCGGTTTTTTTTCTTGCAAGCTACTGGAAATGTTTCAAGAGGGCAGTTATGGTAATGGTCTGAGGGCCGGTGTGACAGCCCTGTGCAATTTTAGGGCATCTGTGTAATGGAAAATCTGTATTTTAAATGCTCCCTAACTTTATACAAAATCCATGCAATCTTGTGTGCCAAATACATACACCAGGAGTAAGAAGTCTGGACATCCAGCATGTGGAATAACTACGAATCCCATCATGCATCTCCCTCTGGGAGTCATGCCCGTGGCTCTCAGAATCTTGCAATGCCTCATGTAATTTGTAGTATAAACACAAGTGGAGGACTGGGTTTGCCTACCCCTGACATTCATCTTTGCATGTGCATAGGTTTGAAAGGCCCCTTAAATTAGTACAGCAAGCTTACAGAAAGATGTTTAGTTTCCTGCATATTATGCATGTCACCTGTGTGTGCCAATTAGATTTCAGCTTGCTGCACATTAGTGTACGCAAGTACTGAAAGATGTTTCCGGATTGGTTTCTGTTAAAGTGTATCTGAAGCCAAAAGTTTGTTTCAGTTTTAAGGAGAGAAAGGAATGGGGTTTTTTTTAGCATGTCAGGGTTAGGGGAGATTTCCCTCTACTTCCTGTTCGTAGACACAGCAGGTAAGCAGAGGACATCTTTTCGATTGGAGGAAATTCTCAGTGACCGTTTGTGCCATTTGGAATATTTTTCCTTATTTCTGTTCTAGCGACAACTTAAACTATTTGGATTTTCCCTCACTTTAAATCCCACTGATTATGGTGACCAGGATGAATGGAGATGGTAAATGTTCCCAATGGAGACATCTATCAAACCTTACAGGGGTTCTATCCCTTACCTACTCTGCCCAAAACAAAAAGATTTGACTTCATATATACTTTAAATAAAGGCCACTGGCAGTAACTGTGATTTTTTTTTTTTTTTTTTTTTTTTTTTTTTTCATTGAATACCATTTTGTATTCTATTGTTCTAATGAAGAGGTTTTAGCAATGTGACTATATTCTATATGGACATTCTGTTAGATCTTGTCTTTTTTTATTCTTTGCAGCCCAGTGATGGAGTTACATACCATGTTTCGCATACACGAGAAAGGTGCCCAGGAAGAAATACTGCGTCAAGATTCCAATCCGAACCACAAACATAGAGAACGTGTCTTCAGACCAAGGATATCCCTCTTTGGATTAAACGAAGAAGAAGTTAGATCAAGGTATCGCTTTAGCACTGAAGTTATACTGGAGCTATATGAACAGATCCAGCAAGACATAGAGCCAAACTGTGAACGGAACCATGCTGTTCCAGGAATGGTAAAATTGCTAAGCGCTCTGCATTATTTTTCCTCTGCATCGTTTCAGGGTACAGTGTCCGCGCTCTCTGGTATATCCCAACCTAGCTTCAGCAGGCATCTGACTCAAGTCCTAAAGGCCGTCAACAAGTTAACTCCACAATATATTGTTTTCCCATCAGATAAAGCTGCAATACAAACAATAAAAGATGGCTTTTATAAAATGTCGTCTTTTCCTAATGTCATGGGGGTAATTGACTGTACTCACGTCGCTCTGTCACCCCCAACAGAAGATATTTACAGAAACAGCAAGAATTTTCACTCTTTAAATGTTCAGATGGTATGTGCATCTGATATGAGGATTCTTAACTTGGTAGCTGGGTATCCTGGATCTACACATGATTCCTACATACTAAACCATTCAAGCTTACATACAATTTTGACTTCTGGCAATCTTCCAGAAGGCTGGATATTGGGTAAGTAGTGAATAGCAATTTTTTTTTTATTATGAAAGGTTTTTATTCCTTTGGCAGATGAACAAAAAGCAAACATATTGTCCTTACTTCATGTGCACCTCACTCACACAGAAGCCTGAATTGGTTTTACAATACAACTGTACATCACAAATTATATTTACAGGATCTCTCCATCCATTGATGAAGGTGACTTCACATCACAAATTATATTTACAGGATCTCTCCATCCATTGATAAAGGTGACTTCACATCACAAATTATATTTACAGGATCTCTCCATCCATTGATAAAGGTGACTTCACATCACAAATTATATTTACAGGATCTCTCCATCCATTGATGAAGGTGACTTCACATCACAAATTATATTTACAGGATCTCTTCATCCATTGATAAAGTTGACTTCAACCAGCATACACATATAGAATAATAAATGCAAAGTGTAATTTAAGGTTTTTGTTTTTTTTGCAGTGTTTACCTTCAAGTATGTTTTCATATGACTTGTATTTTACACATTTTTTTCCATGTTTGTTATTGTAGCCACATAGGGAGTGCATTATTTTTAGTGAGTTGGCAGCCTTGTGAAAAGTAACAGTGAAGCACAAGCAGGAAGCAGAGCCCCTTCCTATGTAATGAGTCAGTTTGGCTGCCCCGTGTATATGTTATTCCAAATTATAAAGATAAATGGAGCTCTGTTTAAACATTGACAATAAAATACCGATGCTTTGGCTTATCTCCACTGCACTCCACTCCACCCGTGAGTGCCTCTAGACCTACTTTGGATTTGTATGGATATTTATGTGGATAAGAACTCGGGCATTTACCTTACAGAGTGTGGGTGGTGGCTACCCCTGGGACTGTTTACAAATTATACATAGAAACAATGTTGTTGTTTTTTTTGTTTGTTTTAGCATATACATTTTTATTGAAAAAGTTTAGTAATTACAAAAGACAGTAACATAGACACGGTATGCAAGTAAAATATTGCATGAAGATATAGACAACATAAACAACAAAAGATCAGAGAGAAAAAAATATCCTGCCATCGAGTAACAAGTAATAGAGAAAGACAAAAGAAAAAGTACAATGGGAAAGGTGAGAAAAAAAAAAGTGAGCCAAAGAGGGATAGATAAGAGAATATCAGTCAATCACTTGATCCCAAAAGTGTGAAGTGACAGGGCAGAGCCACCAAATATGTGCATGGGAGCCTAATTCAGTACATCCCCTAAAACAGGGATGCCCATTAGCTTGTCAATGGCACCGGAACCACACACCCCCCCCACTCCACCCCCGTCCGCAGTGTAATTGCCCGCACACGGAACGCAGGCACATTAGTGCCTGCGTTCCAGTCCAGTGCAATCTGCAGCATTTTTGCAGATCGCATTGGACCGGAACGCAGGCACTAATGCAGGGCGATCGCACTGTGGGCGGCGTGGCTGCGGTGCTATTGACTTCAATGCACTGTCGCTCCCACTCCTGAATGCAGGGAGCCGGCCGCTTTGCGTGCTAGAGCCCGAACACTCTGGAACGCAGACCTTGTGGCGTGGGGGTTGGGGGGAAGACACCAGGCTGGAGGAAAGAAGAGAGATCAATCCCCGACAGTTCTGATCATCACGGCAAATGCACTCAAAAGGGCTCAGGAATTTGATAGTCTTAGTTCATCCCATTTATTTTAGAGATAAAAGCTATAATTTGAAGGTAACGGAAAAACTCAACATTCAAAATATGGAAGTGGTCTTAAAGCTATTGGAAGGATTTAAGACCTGCATCAGATTGGAATTTCCCGAAACGGGTCAAATGTCACCCAAGCGTCAAAAGACATGGGGGATTCCATTGCTGGCAAAAAAAGAGGGATTATATAGAAACGATAACATGGGTTTATTAGGTGAAATAAGTATTTTATGAATTTTTATGGGCGTCCCATAGTCGAAGAGAATGAGCTGTAGTCAAGAGAGGTCTTTGGGAGAAAGCCAAAGAACGTTATCAATGCCAACAGGGCATAAAGGTACAGCTTAGAAACAATGTTTTAAGACATTAACACACATTATGCAGTTTTTTTACACATCAGCTTTCAGGTTACTTTTTAAAAGATAGTGGGGTTGATTTACTAACCTTATAAACACACCACGAACATGTATACACCTCTGTAGTGTGTTCCCTCCCAGCATGATCTATGGGTGGAATCTAAACCCCTTTGTAGTGTGTACACACCCAGCAGGTGTGTTGTGCAAAGCCCTGCATGAATTACAAGGTGATGTTGTGTAAATTAGCTCTATGTTGTGTTGCTTGCGTTGATGAATGCAGGAATGTAAATGCATGAGCTAACCATTTTTGTCTAAACTGTGAAGCAGCATTATATATGCATCATGTGCATGATTTTTCCATATATGGCATTAGTGGAAATATGCTTTTAGAGACTTTTTGGTTAATAAATACGTTTTGCTGTGTAAAATCACACGCACCTCGTGCGTGTGTTTAGGTTAGTAAATCACCCCCAGTGTGTAGGGGAACTTGGACTGGTCTGAGATGATCACCCAATATATATCTCTGATCACAATACATGAAAAACAGTAGGTCCCCCTGCACTCCTTACAGCGCTTCCGGTCCAAGTGAAAATAGTGGTGCTCGCAGTGACAATCACGGATGGCGCCGTGTACAACAGTCAATGAACGATAGAAATCACCAGCACTCCATAAATGAAATTCAAAAAAAGTCCATTTATTTGGACTAAACGTGACACATATCACATAATCCAACGTTTCAGGACCACGCAGGGTCCCTTCATCATCACCGTCACATCTCTGCCCTGATGAAGGGATCCTGTGTGGTCCCGAAACATTGGATTATGCGATATGGGTCACGTTTAGTCCAAATAAATGGACTTTTTTTAAAAATTTCATTTATGGAGTGCTGGTGATTTCTATCGTTCATTGATCACAATACATGGCTATATTCCTTTGGAACATATTGACTGTCTGGATACACAATTCACCTAAATATGTCTAATATGTGAAGTTCCCACTAATATGCATCTGTCCAAACCAGACAGGATGCACAATAAAGAATACCATGTGTGTGTATGTGTATATACACACATGGTATATATGTAATTCTAATTTATTGACTGATTTAAAATCTATTTTATATATAATTATAGAAATGGTATAGTTTACTGGTTTATACATTGTGGATTCTGTCTAGTTTGCTCAGATGCTAATTAGTGGGAACATTACATATTAGACATACTTCTTAAAAGAGTGTGGAAACGCTAAATCCATTTTCAGTATGTTTGGCATTGTGCCTCACTGTATACAGTTTTCTTGGTTATTTGTTGCAAAGTCTTTTAGTTGGAGATGCTACAAGGAACAGCACTTCCTCTATGCAGGCTGACGGTTAGCAGTAGCGCTGTCAGCCTGTCTTTTGTGCTCCTTCAAACATCTTTGTCACGTACCTGGTTGGAGACTGAATGTGTGAGGAGGCCTCCCTTGCACCTTGTGACCCGAGGACTCTGAGGTTGTGGACAGAGTCCAAGTGTACAGCGAGTGGTACGAGTGCCAGTGGTAATAACACCGTGCAAGCTGAAATCCAAGGGCTTTGATAGGCGAAATCCAGGTAAACGAGCCAAGGTCAAAACCAATCAAGCAGTAACGGTACAGAGGGGTCAGGCAGAAGCAAAGTCCAGTAAACAAATCCGAGGTCGGTGGCAGGCAGCAGGCAAGAATCGTCAGGTCAAATCCGGGTCACAACAAATCAAGAGGGCGAACACAGGAGAGCTGAAAGATAATCCAGCAATATGGTGGTGCTCAGGCTGGGTATATATAGGGGAAGTGATTAGGGCAATGTGTCACTTTCTGTGTGCCATTTGGAGCGCTTTTGCGCGGATGGTCCGTAGCGCCCGCGGAAAAGTTTGCATCCCCATGGTACGGGAGCGCGCGCTTTGCGCATACGCAGTTACAGGGGATCGCTTACAATCTGCTTGACTGCCAACAGCTGCCAGCTGAAACAGTGTGTGCACAGCAGGCTGACAACGCTGCTGTAAATTGCAAGGCAGTTGCTTAGTGTGGTCAATATGCAACAAAAGTGCTGTTACTGGCAAGATCTCCAGGTAAGACATTTTGCAACGGATTCACACAAAAAAAACTTGGTTAAGGAAAATGTTTACAGTTAGGCATGATATCAAACATACTGAAAAATAGATGTTAATGCAAAGCAAATAGGAAAAAAATAACACACCAGGCACCATCTCTAAGCATTTAAAACGACCTTTACCCAAATCTTTAAAAATAACAACAAAAAGACCTTTAGAAATGTTTAGTAATGACAATCTACAAACACATACTTCTAGATAATTGCCGGCTTTGTATTCTTTGCATACCTTGTTTCTCTTAGTGTTCTGACAGTGGCCATGTTTACTAAGGGCAGCTTACTAGCTCTCCTTTTACTTCCTGGAAATCTTGCACATGTGACTAGGATATGTGACAAGGACAGAGGGGCGGGCTTCCGATGACTGCAAACAGGCAGCGTGCGCACACCGGCCCGTTCGGCAGTTGTCGAACAAGCAGGCCACTAACCCGCCGAGAATCGTACGCTTCTCGGCGGGTTTTCAAGCCTGCTTGTTCGATGGAAGACGTGCGACCGTACAGTAGAAACGGTCGCACGCCTTCTATACACTTTGCGATTATCGTACGATCGCAGGATTTCCTGCGATTCTCGTGCGATAATCGTACAGTGCATGGGCACCTTAAAGCCATGGATAGCTTTCACAGAACACAGAAGGAAGCAACTGAAGATTGGGGAAGCATGGCAGGTATTTCTTGCCATTTTAAAGGCAAATAAAGATAGGGGGCATATTAGGATAACCAGCAAGCTTTACAATTAATAAGCTGTTTGTTTGTTTTTACACACACACACACACACACACACACACACACCCACACACACTTACATACATTTTTATATCTATGTTTACAATGAGGAAATATAATAGCCATCTTTTTATT